GACATGAAATTTTTTTTATTATTGTAAACTCAAAAAAAGTTTTAGCTGGTGTATATCTTGCCAATAATCAATTATCCATAAAGAAAAAAGCATTTTACCTTCTTGTTTTCAAGAAAAGGCTGTTGAAAATTTTCCAAAATTTTAGTTTCAATGTAGATGACGCTGCCTCACTTGGACTTGGCCTTAAACCTCAGCTTTTTTTTTATCACAAAGAAAATTATCAGAAAATAAATAAATTAAAAGTTAAAAAAATGTATAATATAATATTTTTAGAAAAAATCGTGTAAAACTTAGCTTGAATTAAAATAACTTTTTTTAAGGTTATGTTCTCGTATCAATAATCTCTTAACTTTTTCATCAAAGAGTAATTAATTAATTTAATCAAATTTTAATTACAGTTGGTGAAATTGGCCTTAAATACAAATAAATAAAGCAAATAAAAAACTTTTTCCTGTGTGTGTGTGTGTGTTTTTTTTTAGGGAAATATTGAAATTGATGGATTTTGGAAATGCAGAATTATATAAAAGCTAGCGAACCCCTTGGGAAAAAAAGGTCAGTACATAATTATTATGTTTATAAATACGTATAACTAACAGACTTGGAGAGAATAAACTAACAATCACACAAAAATTATTCATGGAGGAGGGGCCCTGTACATATTTATACATGATACAAACGTGTCGTTTATAAGTCTTTCGAGTTTCAATTGCACCTGGTTATATTGAGATCGAAGTTAATCGACGGTTAGGTTAAAAAGTTGTAAAATATACATATATATATAAATGTACTAGGGTTTGTATATATATATATATATATATATATACTATTACAATAAACCAAGTACATATTGTATATATATACGTGTAACCACAAGTCTCGTCGATCGACTCGATTGTTCTACTAACATAATTAGCGCTTTTCCTTCTTTTTTCATTTTACAACTATTTTCATTCTCTCATCTCTCTCTCTTTCTTTCTTTTTCTCTCGCTCTCATTAACTATTCCACTTTACAAAGTTTGGGATATACATAGTACGAAACAGTTGCTCGAAATAACGTCTTGCTCTCTCATTTTTTTTTCTTTCTGTATTTTTTTTTTTTTTTATTTATCACTTTCTTCCGTTATCTTAATGAATTAATTAAATATTTGTATTTAATTGCTTTCTTACATACTGAGAGTATCATATTTTTTTGGGTTTTTTTTTTTTTATTATTTTTTTTTTTTTTTGATTTCTTAGTAAGTTCCTTTAGTCAAAAAAGCCGAGGAATTAGTCGAAAGCCGCGAATACTTCGTTTTCATTGTAATAATAAGTTTATTGTAGCTTTTTTTTTCCCTTTAAACACTTGGTGTGTGACTTTTATACAATATTTTAATCGCAAGGAGGAGGGACGGGAATCTTATATAGAATCTCTCGTTGAGCTTGTAAAGGCTTCAAAAGTTTGTTTTTTTTTATCCTCACGTTTGTATTTCGTTTTATTTCATTAATTTATTTTTAAATTAATTTTTTCAAAAATTTTTCTTTTCAAAAAAACAAAAAACTTTATCAAAAAAAAAAATCTTTTTCCAAAAACAATCTTCCTTTCCTCCACTCCCTTTGCTTAGCTTATTTTATTCTTGCTGTACCATCAATTCGGTGACTCTATTACCAATTGTGACGAAAAAAACTGTTTTGTTTTTTTTAACTTTTTAACGAAATTTATTATCATTTTTTTTTCTAATTTCTGCTGTAATGCATTTCTAAAAGATTTTTAATTTGTTTTTAATTTCTTGTTACCTTTTTTTTTTTTTTTTTTTGATTTTTACACTTTTATACACATTGATATTTTATATACATTTCATTTTTGTATTTTTTACAATATTTTCTTTTTTTTTTCTCTTAAGTGGATAAATATTAATTTAGCGTTCTAAATCATGATATTTTTATTTCGATCAAAAATTATGCTTTTATAATATGCTGATTTCATTGCAGCAAAAATTAAGAAACAGAAAATATTGCGTAATTTAGGTAAAAAAAAAGAAGATTTTTTTTCATCACGATTGGTAATAAAGAAACTAATTTCATTTTTTTTCTCATTTGCCATATGTCCTTACTGTTAAACGTAACGGATTTCTTTTTTTTTAACAGTAGTAATGCAACCATTCGTAATAACACTAGAATACGTTGAAAGTCGTTCTTAATTTTTAACATTTTTTTTTTTTTTCTTTTTTTTTTGGACGCAATGGTTTCCTTATCTGGTCTAAACCAGAAGACTTGGCATGTGTGTGTGTTTGTGTTATTACTATTTATTATTATTATTATTACATTTTTTTTTTTTAACAATTCGCATGTTCTCGTTCAGAAGAAAGTCGATGATCAAATCGCTTATAAGACGGTAGTTTTAAGTTTAAGTTTTGCGCTGGGATATTGAAGTAGCGTAAATATTGTAATTTTTTTTTTTTTTTTTTCGTTTATTTAAATAGTAATTTAGTAATTATGCGATAATACCTTAATAAGGCCCAGTAAGGCTGCGTGGGTAACGAACTATCCCACAAAATTGAATATACCTTTAAAAATCACTTTTACGCTCTTTCTCGTCTATTCAGAAATTGTCAAGAAATATTCATTCTAATTTTCAATTTTATTTTTTTTGCATACTTTTAAATCTTTTTTCTCTCTTTCTCTCGCGCACTTTCTTACTCAGGCAAAAAATTCTCTCATTCACACACGGACAAACATACATTGACACACACTCGTCGCGCTTCTCTTTTTTTTTTTTCTTCTTTAATATTATTAATTTTTTTTTTTTTTTTTTTTTAACAATATACACATGTATAATTTGACAAAAATGGAAAAAAATGAATCGAGTCCAATTTGACAAAAAAAGTAAAAAGTCAGTCCTACGAGCCTGTATGTCCTCATATTATTGTCACGTGTTTTCTTCGTTAATTATTATCATCGTCGCAAAATCTTCGCTCCTTTCGATTATTAAAGTTTACGTAGAATCAGTTTGACCTTTTTTTTTTAATTTTCAAGGGTCACTTTTTTTATTATAATTTAATTTTTTTTTTTAAATTCAATATATTAGTAGTTTTTTTTTTCTCGTACGTATTAAGTTAACTTACTTACGGAATGCCCTAAAAATCATTAGAGTGCAGACTCGATCTTTGAGATGTCGGGTAATACAACATGCTTTGTAAAATTTTCAAAACTTACTTGTTATACGCTGCTTAAATTCCTATAAAGGTTGTTGCTTGTATTCTCCTTCGCTTACTTTCTCAACAAATTATTTTATTTAATAATTTTCTTTTTTTTTTTTTCTTAGCTTTTTGAACTCTTAATTTATCATCCGCCCTGCTGCGCCGAGATTTTTTTTTTTTTTTTAAATTCTCGCGCATATATATAATATATTTATATATATAGACTTTTTAATAGTGTTCCGACTTTTGTTTTAAATCGTTACTCGATACTTTCATACGTTTCGCATAAAAAACAAGGCAATTAGATTGAGTTTCATTGTTTACACTTAAATCTTAATCGCATTTTCTTTATGTATATAATATATATATTTTATATATAATATATATCATTACTCAGATGGATCACCTTGTATATACATATATACTCGTGAAGTACTTTTTGCAACTAATAGAAAAAGACTAAGCTCTCGTTAAAGAATCTTCGACTCTCATCTGTTTTTTTTTTTTTTTTTTTTTATTTTTTTTTTATTTATTATTTTTCTCATTTCACAGCTTTTCTTTTACATTTCCTTTTTTTTTGCCATAACGTCACTCTCAATAGGATAACTGCATTAGTTAAGAAAATTTACCTTCAATTTTCAAATTTCAATATTTTTTTTATTCCACAAAGAAATCGAAGAGTTTCCATATTTTCTATATTTAAGATTTGATTTGACAATATATATATATATTATTTTCACGTAAATAAAATATTAAAAAAAAAAAATAATTTATTAAGGAAAATAAAAAATATTTCATGAAATATAGAAAAAAAAAAAAATTTTTTTTTGTCACGAAACAATTACAATTTTTTTTTTGATTTGTTTCTCAAACAAAAAAAAAATATTACAAATAACATTCTAATTTTCTAATGTGACTTTCCAATTTTTCTCTAATCTAGTTCATGTACAATCTAAAAATTTATTTAAAAACAATGCCTAAATTAATTACTAGGATTATTTTAGTCTTTTAAATGTTCTCATATTTACATATTTCATTGGAAAAATAATGTTACAATTTAATTTTTTTTGATTGTTTGGAAGAACTCTTAAGAAGTATTCAAAAACCTAGTTTTTTTTTAATCTAACGTATTTTATTTTTCTAAGAAGCACAATTTCATCTACAATTTTTTTTTTTCAACTAGATTTTTTTAAAGATATTTTTTGTCTTTGAAGAAAGAAAAAAAAGTACTCAAAGAATCATTAATTAAAAATGCTAATTAATATCTATTTAATGGAATATTAATTAATTTATCTAGAAATATTTTTATTAACAAAAATTTAGATTCGTTTCATTTTTTTTTTTTTTAGAATAAAAATTTGAAACGGAAATTTCGCTAATATATTATTATTCAATCTATATTTTATTAAGTTTAATTAATTTGAAACTACGATTAAATAACTTTATATAAGATAAATAATTTGTTGCTTGAATACTTTTAGTGGATTGGAAGAATTATTGTTAATTATAATAATAAAGAAATTTTGATTTCTTATAAACAAAGTGAATAAACAATTTTTCATAATTTTTTTTCTTTTGATTTTTCTTGTCTTTTTTTTATTATTAATTAACTCTTATTGAACTATAAAAGCCTAATAACAATTTTCTTCATCCAAAAATTCTTTAAAATTTGTCAATTTTGCAAAAACACTTTATCCTTATTCTTCCTTTCATTTTCAAACCTAACATTTAAACAATTAGAATAAATTTTTCTAAATATTAAGAAACAAAATTGAGTTTTAAAAATAACAATAAATTTATTTTTTTTTTACCTAATATTTTAATAACAAGCAACAAAAAATAAATTTTGAATTTATTTATTTTTAAAAATTAATATAATCAGTCTTGATAAATAAAATATATAAATTTTTGTCTAATTTAAAATTTATCAACATTTCATTTATTTTTTTTAATGATTTTTTTTATATATATATATATATAAGTATATACTTAAAAGAAGCTTTTCGATTTAATTAAATGCACATTAATTTAAATGTAAAAGAAATTTTTTTCCCTTAATTTTTTTGGAAAAAAAGTCAAAATATAATTACCAAAAAATAACTATTGCAATTACCCTATTCTTTAAATTTGTGATTACCATTCGGTTCTGTCTCTCTCTCTCTCGTTTATCTTCGCGTTCAAATTCATTATTCTAGCTACATCCTCTCGGGACAAAAATTGTCCTACACTCACGAACGAATCGCCCACTTACCTAGAATATCCTAAACTCTAGCGATTCGCTCGCGCGAAATGGGGATTTCATATATATATATTTATATATATATATATATGCCAGAGTGCCTGGTCCCTGGCAGTTCCGAACCTCCCAAAATCACTCTCATTTCGTATGCGCGATACAGAGGAAAGTATTTACAAGGGAAGCCAAGGGACCAAAAATTAATTTGGATCTTACTCCATTTAAGCTTTCCTGTTTCTTTTTTTTGCACCCAGCACCTAATCCCGGTCATTTAGACCTCCTTTCTTTCTTTTACTCTTTCCATTCATATCTATTTTTTCTACCGATTTTCATTCTTTTTTTTTTCTATCATTTTCATTACTCTTTTCAAAAATTAAAAAAAAACCCTTTCACCTTATTTCCCCACTTGAAGGTGTAATGGAACTTTCTCTTCAGCCGTTTCTTTTTTTTTTTTTTTTTTGGTAAAGGACCATTGATTCTACAGGGAGCGTGTTTTTTTTTGGGGGAGCCACCCTTTTTTTTGAATCATCTGAAGTGTAAACTTCGCGTTTGGACCTTTTTTTTTGTTTACTTATGTTTTGTTTTTTGATCGCTAGGGATCATTATCTTTTTTTTTTTTTTTTTTTTTGACAATGAAGCACTTTGAGCCTCTCTGGACTGAAGTCTCTCTCTCTTTAAGGACAGCCGCACTCGTCGACGACCATTTTTGGCAAATCCCTTTTTATTATGTTAGAATCGGGTCCATAGTAGATGAGGGACATTGGAGAAAACTTGAGAGGCGCACAACATGGCTGCATGCCTGCCAACCGATCCATTTTTCTGTATTCCTCAATAACATGCGTATAATAATTGAGAAATGTGTCCGGCGTCCTGTGACCAGATGCGCAATCTCCTCTGCAATAGTTTGCATAATATCTGAAAAAAAAAAAATTAATGGAATAGAATTTTTAAAATAGTAAAATAGATTTCATTTTTAGTTTACAACTATGTAAATTCTAAATTATATTCTCTTTAAAGTAAGACTTAAGTTAAAAAATATCTTGTGAGTGGCCTAAAAATACAAAGGAATGTTAATATTTTAGAATTTTCTTGCTCCGTCCCCTAGAATTATTCGAAATGGAAGAAAAGAGACGATTTTGAAATTGGTTGATATTTGATGACGCCGCTAGGCCTTTGAAGTTTCGCAGGTGAATAGATTTTTGGAAACCAAGAAGAAAATTGAGGATTGGTTCTATATTGAATACCTAGTCAAAATATCCCAGACTAAAATCAGTCTCAATACCATCGTTCGGTGATTTCGAATTGCGTGCGGTTTTTCAGGTATGATTCCTTTTTGTTTGAATTGCGTCCCAAGCTATTACGGACTGTGTTTAAATTGGGTGCAGTTTCCTCCCGATATATTTCGTTTAACCAAATTTTTTAGGTACACTGAGAGAAGAAAAGCACAGAATCCGTACTGTGACGAACGCCGGCCGTGTAAAATGAGTGTCAGTATCCGTTCTTTAGTTTTGTTCAGTTGGTGTTGTTCATAGTTCAGATACTAAGCTCTAGCAGCGCGGCAGCGGTGTGAACTAAGTTATACGGAATCTGTCTCATAGCGACCGACAGATACTGTATTTCTGAACAGTTCCATATCTGTGTACAGTATCTATACTCAAGCCAAGCACAACATCCATTTCACATTTTAGTACGGCATCTATCACACAGTGACGCTGCTGCTGCGCTCAACTTGGAGTACAGATGCTGAACTTCTCCATTTCAGATTCCGTGCTTTTCTTCTCACAGTGTAATAGACATGAAATATTGAATAAAATTTTTTGGTAGAGTTAACCGAATTCCCCAATTAAATACTGTTTTTTTCTTTGTTCTGTCAACCAAATTGAAGTATTATCTAAAAAAAGCTTTAAAAAAATTATTTCGTAATCAGTAAATTATTTTTTACAGTATATAATTGATAATTGATAAAGCAGAATACCTTCGCAAAATGCAGAGACTCTATTTCGCCTTGGCCTGTATAGAGTGCGAAGGGAAATATTGAAATCTAAATGTGTTACCCAAAAAATGCAGCCATATCACAGTTACTCTACGGTACGCAATTCAACTTATACCTGGCATCCCTTGGGACGCAATTCAATCAGCTGCATGCAATTCGAATTCAGCCCCATCGTTAGGCAAGATTAGTTCAAAATTGGATATATCAATGCTCATCCCAATCACATTTTATGCCTGGTACAATTGTCATTAGCTTTGAGACACCAATCTTTTCCACTAAGACTTAACCAATATTGACCATGCTTCAATCAAACCTAAACAAACTTGAATCCATTGTCGCTTTTTACTTCACAGAAAATTATAAGGTATCAAAATAAGCTGCAACGCTTATTATTTTAATCCAATTTTGCTTATTTTAATACCAAAATGGATTAAAATAAGCAAAATTGGATTTAAATAATAAGCATTACAGCTTATTTCAATGCCTTTTAATTTTCTGTGTTGGGTAAAGTCTTGCAGATTTGATTTTTGACACGAAACATCTTCAAACCATAGTTTATTAAAGAACAAAGCAATGGGTAGTTTACAATAAAACTAGGGTAGACGCTAGGCGACGAGAAAGCCAAAATCTGATCGAAACAAAAGGATCTGTGATTATTATCAGTTACAGAAACTTATTTACTTGTTCTACTTTTTCTAGTTGCGATGTAAAAGATGACATTTCATTGCTTCTAAAATTAAAAAACCTGATTATTGCTTTTTGATCTAAATATTCTCAAAAAGAAACCAAATTATCGAAATAATCAATACAGTCAGATCTAAAAATTGACGCACAATAATAATCTTTTAAGCTTAAAAATACAAGCATCAACTTCGGAACAGGAGATACGAAAAGTAAAATCTAGTTTTCATCTTGTTAGTTTGAAGTTAGTCTTCTTCTCTTCTACTGTTAGACCTCTAATTCTATGTATGAAATAATTCTTGATCCCAACTACAATATCTGACTTCAGAAAAATCTAGACAAAATATAAATCGAGGATTTCTTATTCGATTCACAGTTTCTGTTTTTGGGTAAAAGTTTAGCGATTTTGTGTTGATGGTAGTTGAAAAAGCCATGAGTCATAAGTAAAGGAACCACTGTCTTAATTCTGATTTTTGGTGAGTTTTAGAAGAACTTCTACAAAGGTATCTTTTCAAGCAATATTTCTTTCTCAAGAGACATCTGAGTTAAGATCATTATCGCACAGATTTTCGACGTTCCAAACTGAGGAGTATTTACCAGTGTTGTCAGTTTGACGTCGTCAGCTTTCCGATACATACTTGAACTAATGCGTCTTTGATTTATAGTAATCTTTCTGAAAACCATAATCTGCAGTTGATGCAGTTTCTCTTTCAATGTGATAAGTTGGAGCCTAATCCACCATACACGGTATTAATTCGGATCTATTTTAGTCATTAGAAATTTGGAAACTGTCCTGATGCTCTAGTGGGATTTCTCTGAGACAACCAACTGTTTAAAAATCGCAAGAGTTACCCTCAAATCTTTGCCTTTCGTCGAGCGTATCTTAGCTATATGAGACCATGGAATCCGTGGAGTTATACCTGTAAAAAACTTCTTGATTACAATTGGAGACTTCTCAGATAAAAAGACGTTAAAGCATCCCAAACAATTATTTCCCACTTCTCCTAAAGAAATCTAAAGTTACGAAAAGACCTGAATTGCAATACCAAACAAGAATTTGCCAACCTCATTAGGCATAATTCATTAATACATCAAAATTATTAAAAACAATAAGTAAAAATTTAGAAGTCCTACACTGAAAATATTAACTAGGCGATTTAGCTATGCTCTTAGTCACGAGAGGAACCCACTAAAAATCAAAGTTACATTAACTAAGATTCCTAGTTATTATGACAAGGAATTTGTTGGGATAACTAGGAATCCTAGTTAATGTGACTCTGATTTTTAGTGGTTTCCTCTCATGTCTAGAAGCATAGCTAAATCGCCTAGGAATTTTTTTCAGTGTAGTCACGTTTATACAACTCAAAGCAGTGGATGATATTTTGAAAATAAATTCTTCTATCATAAGAAATCTTTTGTAGAATTCGATTAGGAAATAATAGTTGATAATTTCTTGTGTACCCAAGTAGCACGATATATCAACCAGATGTCACGGTGATATCACCGGGGAATGTCACCGTGACATCAGGAAAATGTCAAAATGTCCGCCTTACGGTGATATCACACGGTGACATCGAGGTGATATCATGGTGACATCAAGGTGATATCACAGTCATATCACGGTGATATCATGGTGATATCACCGTGATATCATGTTGATATTTTACAGGGACTTAAAATTTTTAATAATTTAGAAAATAATAATAAATAAAAAAAATAATAAAAATAATAAAAAAAAATAGTAAAAAATAATAATTTTTAAAAAATTTTAAATCCCTGTAAAATATCAACATGATATCACGGTGATATCACCATGATATCACCGTGATATGACTGTGATATCACCTTGATGTCACCATGATATCACCACGATGTCACCGTGTGATATCACCGTAAGGCGGACATTTTGACATTTTCCTGATGTCACGGTGACATTCCCCGGTGATATCACCGTAACATCTGGTTGATATATCGTGCTACTTGGGTATGCTGTAGGGTGGTAACTGTTCATCTAGAATTCAAATATACCTTTTGCATCTAATTATTACTTCTCTTAGTGAATGAACAACAACGACTTTGAGAACTATCAAAAACGAAAATTTGAATACAGCAATAAAGTATTTGGTTAAATTGCTCATAAGATAAATGTAACAGATTTAAAAAGTCATGAAAACTAGGATGACAATTCAATGTAAGAATTATTTAAGGTTCATTCCTTACAGAAGTTATTTCAATATGTATATCTCTTTCGAGCATTATTATATATTTGAATGATTTCTGCTTTCAAACGTATAATAATAATTGTTCAACAATCCGCAAACTCGCGGCCATTGCTCTCGTATGTATATGGCATATGGGTTTCATGATGCCTTACGAATGACTCTTACGCGTGCAACTGAGATTGATAGTAAAACTATTGACGAGATTCATCCAAAAAGAACATGATTGTTTCCCTCTTGTATCAAGGTACAAAACATATCCAGCCTCTAACCCGTGGTATATACTAATCATCGATCCCGTGCGGCTTTTATATATATATATACTTTGAAAATTTATTTGTTTTGAATTATCGTTACTGCGAGAGAAAACTTATATCATATATATGATTCAAAACATGCTACATTTTTTTCAATACCAAAAAAATTATTCGTTTGTGATACATTTTTTTTTTAAATTAAAAAAATGATTTATTTTTGTATCGCAACTCTTTCTTTGGATGCGTTATTCATTATTGAATTTCTTTGATGTTGAAATTGATTGTAAATTTTCTTTGATGTGGAAATTTGTTTTTTTTTTTTTTTTTGGGAGTATCCTTTGATGTTCTATTTTACATATTTTGAAAATTTGCTCTCACCCTTGAGGGGCGATTATCCAATCGTCCCATCCGAGTTGCGAAAAGCTAACGTAGAACCTCTGCTTGCAACATTGACCCCTAACGGCGCCGTTGCACTCGACAGCTCGTCTTCTAACACGCTTCACAGCCGCTGGATCCGTTCGAACGACTAAAAATGGTCTGTCCGGATCTTGAGCACCTACAAAAATAAAGTAATAATTGAGTAAACACAAAAACTTATTTTTAGCGCCTTTTGTAAAACGCAATTTCAAAAAAAAAAAAAAAAAAAAATTCTAAAACAAGCAACCATTCAGTCAATGAAAATTTTATAATGAAGAAAACAATCCTGTTGTAATGAATAATTTTAGAATAAATTTTAGAGAAAATAGTTGTGAAATGGATATAGTATAGTTTTGATTATATATAGATGAAAGATTAATTACCTTTGGTATTCAAGGTCGATTCGACGACGTGAGGTGAATGACCGCCGAATGTGGAAATGTGCACGTGCGATCCGCAGCCCGTGCAATCTACTAGGAGCGTTAGTTTATCCTTTAGCGAATATCCGCTCCCCTGATACCAATTACTGACGACTTTCGTCACTTCGAATTTTTGCCACCCTAATTGAACAACGTTCACTCCTAAAGATGTCACCAATTCTAAGTGTTGACCAAGCTCCTAAAATTACATAAGAAATTTTTAATTTCAAAACTTGATTAACATTTTTTTAGCATATTTTTGAAAAAAATGTACATAAGAGGGAGTTATTTTATAAATAATCCTGTAAATAAATTATAAAAACATTCTCGAAATTAAAATTTTATTTTAATTATATGTTACGGTCAATGTTGATTATTGGGCATTGTCGACATTGCTCACCAAATTCGGTCTATTCATGTTATTCAGCTTTTCTATCTTGGGCAATGTTAAAAATGCTCTAGCTAAAGTCTTAATGATATAAACAAAAATTTATATTATTTCCTTTACAATAAACTTTTGACAATCAATGCTTTTGTAGTGTTAAGGAAAAATTGTATTGACTATAGTTTGTGATCAACTATCGAAAGTTAACGACGCTATTGATATTGTACGCGCGACATGGAAACTTCAATCGATAAAAACGGTTTTCATAATAATCTAATGAACTTAATATCTGCAAAACGTGCAGATAATAGAGCCTTTCTTTCTTCTATGGAATACAAAGAATATGTGGAAAAAAGTGAACAGTGTAAAATCAAAAAGACTTCAAATGAGTGTAGATTTTTAAAAAGATACGACACAATTTCTGTGAATGAACACCAGAAATTAATTAAATCTATTAATGATGACAATGACAAAATTTTATATTGCGTTCAAAATGAAGAGCTCTTTGAAGTTCTTTTTAATGTTTATTCTACGATTGGGCATGAAGAAAGAAACCGCATGGTGCTAGTGTTTTAAAAATAACAAAAAGTGCAATTCTAGATGTCACATCTCACTTGGAAATATTCCCCGGAAAGTGCCCCCTGGAGGTTCTATCAGAATTCCGTCGGAATTCCAAAGAATTTCCGATGGGATTCCGACGGAATTCCGATTAATTTTTTTCAAAAATTTTAGAGTCCTAATTCCGTCGGAATCCCATCGGAAATTCTTTGGAACTTCGATGGAATTCCGACGGAATTACGTTGGAAGTTCCGGCGGAATTCTGATAGAACCTCCAGGGGGCACTTTTCGGGGAATCTTTCTAAGTGGGAGCAGTCTATCATGTGAAAATAAATAAAAAAAATTTGGCACTTAACTAACAATGTTTTTACCATATTAACTAAATTTTTATTATTAAACAACATTGCCCAAACATATGTGGGCAATGTCGACTTTGCCCGGACACTAGCACATTTCTTTGAACTTTATTAAAAAATACTCGGGCAATGTCGACAATAATGCCCGATAATCGACATTGGCCGTAACATATACAGGTTATTTTGTTTTCAAAATTATTTAATTTATTTATTAATTTTAATAATTCAATAATATCAGATTTTTTTTATCAGTACGAATATTTAGTAATTTTGAAGTAAAAAATATTTTATTTAAATAATAATGAATTTCCTAAATTTTGAAATTTGGCGCTATTATTTAAGTTGACAGTACCGTTCTTGCTATGTTAAAACACATGTTTCGATTTTCCTAACCTAAAAAATATTTCACTTTATGATTACATTTTTCAATCAAAATGAACGTTAGAAAAAAAAATGATTTTATATAATTTAAAAAAAACTTTTAATCAAAGTCAATCTATCATGAACATAACCTATAATTTTTTTTTGCTTATTAATTCCCTATTATTTGCCAAAAATTATAATAATAAAAAGAAGTTTTTTGTTCTTTATACTATTAACATTTTTATGGCATTTAAAAATTTGTTTGAATAATAAATTATAATAGACAAAAAATTATTTTTAAAAATCTTGTAAATTTAAAACTTTCTAATCGGAAACATTGTAATCGGTCCTGTAGTAAATTCATCGTTCACTGGCTATAGCCGCAGGAAACCCTACGATTTCGCAAGGGGTTATATTAAATGTATATATATATTCTGAAAAGATCAGTACAAGTTTAAAGTGGATTAAATGGTAATAGATCAAACAAGATTGTTAAAGTCTCGCTTGGACCTTTTGTCTAAAATTAAAATTTTGTTTCATAATTTTTTAAAAATAATAAGCAAAAAAAATAAACAAATGAAAAATAATTTTGAATAATAAAATAAAAACATGTGTATAATAATTTATTTATTATTCACAAATAAATAACAAAGAGATTTCTTTGTGTTTATTAAGGGGGGAAACTCGTTTAAATGCACGTTTTTTAAGGAATTTAAAAAAAATGGTAAAGTCTATTTAATTAAAGTAAAGCATATCTTAAAGTACACAATATAAGCTTTATAAAAAAAAATTTTTATTAAAAAATATTACAAAATGGCGGCGTTACAGGCGTTTGAAGTTACATCTTTGATTTTGCGTCGTGCAACCTACAGGTCACAAATCTCCACTAAAATTAAAAATCAAAATTTTTACCGTTAAAATACGCAAATACGCTTTGCATGACGAAGAGAAAACTAAAAAAAATTTTTTTTGAAAATTTGGGACCATTTTGAAAAAAAAGTCAATTTTTTTTTATAAACAATGTTCAAAAACAATTGTTAAAAAAAGTTTTTTTTTTAAAAAAGGAGCTCGTCATGCAATAGCCAGTAAGATAAAGAAGATTTGTGGTAAGTTTGATTTAAATTGGTTAAAAATTGGTTGAGCTACATTGCACGGCGCGCGAAAAAACACGTTTTAAGAAAAACGTATATAAAATTTTCGATATATAAAAGTAGTGTTTTAACTATTGCCTTGAAGACGTTATGTATTTGAAAATAACTATTGCACTAAAACCAAGATTTACTATCACTTGCTTATGGTGCTTGCTAATGACAATTAATAAAATTATATTGACAAGAAATCGAAAGAATAGAGGGATCTCGTGCTCCTAGTTAACTGCATTTGGTAGCATCTGAAGTGCTAAAATTATGTTTACTATAGACATTTATACATCTAATTATAGATTAGTAATGTATGATCATATTCTACAGATAGTAAACTAATTTTGTAAAGCAAAAAAAAAAAAAAAAAACTTGTAAAAATATTTTCTTTTACACGAGTTTCCCCCCTTAAAGAAGGTACACAAAAATAAAGTAATTCGTTCGACCCTGTTTGTTGTCATTTTCAAGCTTAGCTGACCCGCTCGATCTGTGATAGAGCATTCCCAAAGTCATTCACCGAGCGGGCTTCTAGTGTATTTATAAATTAATATTTATTTTCAAAGCATATTCTGTAATTTAATATTTAAAGTGAAATAATATTTAAATATTACATTTTGTAAGTGATTTAAGTGCATCAAAACAAAGAATCCCAAGTAGCACGTATGTAATATTACAGAAATATTAAAATGTCCGCCTCATGGTAATATTACTGAAATATTACTGTAATATTGCAGTAATATTTCTATAATATTATACAGCAATATTACTGAAATATAACACGTTTATTTGAAATACATAAAAATTTCAATGTTTTTTATGATAAAACACAAAAAGATGAGAATTAATAAGGTAAATATTTTTAAGTGTTTTTTGAAATTTTTTGTAATATTACCAGTTAATATTGCTTTAATATTATCGGTTAATATTACTGCATTATTACAGTAATATTCTTTAATGTTACTGTAATATTAACCGGTAATATTACCATGCAGCGGATATTTTAATATTACAGTATTATTACGTGCTACTTGGGATTAGTTGTGACTTTAAATTAACCTCCCCTACACTATAGTGGTGTGTTGATATTCTAGAACAAAGGCTTTCCGTTTTCATAACATAAGATCATAACCGGGCGTTTGACCAAATTGAAAATTCACACGTTTTATTGTAAACTCATCAGCAGTTATAATTCGGGATTCGATCTGTATAGACGTGTTTGTGCTTGTTTCATATCGTTTGACTATAAATTTCGTTGTAGCACATGTATTAAAAATCTAAGTTCTTAATAGTTTTATTTTATAAATAGTATGTTTTTCAAGTTATAAATTTTCAAATTTCGAGAGTGTTTCTTTTTTGTATTGTGCGGTCAATTAATTTTTTATTTTATAAATAGTATGTTTTTCAAGTTATAAATTTTCGGACTTCGGGAGTGTTAATTTTTATTGTTCAATAATTTTTTGTGCAGTGTTTCTGGCAGCTATTCTACGAGGACAACTCCAGAGGCTGATGATTCTACAATTCTAAGGTACAGAATAATTAATAAATAATTCTTTTTTAATAATAAGGCTATATTTTATTATTTTTTTGTTTGCAAATATTGTAATCACAGAAAATTAAAAGGATTAAAATAAGCTGCAACGCTTCTTATATTAATCCAATTTTTCTTATTTTAATACCAAAATGGATTAAAATAAGCAAAATTGGATTAAAATAAGAAGCGTTGCAGCTTATTTTAATGCCTTTTAATTTTCTGTGATTTAAAAGAATCTTAATTTTGCAGACAAAAGATTAAAAAGAATATTAATTTTGCAGACCATTTGCATTTTCTAAATCATTAATATTCGAACAAATAAATATTCTACAGATAAAGATTCTATCAAATCATAATCCTAAAGAAATTTGCTTTAGAGCTTATTCATGTATCCCAACATAACCTGAAAATTTGACAAAAGTGTAAAAAATTGTTATTGGTGCTTATTAATGTGTAAATTTCATATAATCAACTTCATTTTATTAATATTTAACGAAATTTTCAGATAACCGCGCCACCAAAGTCCGAATGTACTTTTGAAATATTTATTAATTTCTTATAAAAACTGTTAATATAAATCAAAAAATTTTTGTTGTTTCTTAATAACAAATGTATAGAGCTTATATTTGAGCTCTTCTAAAATTAATTTTTTAAAGAGATATCACAAAAAAATGAAGAGGTTAAAAAATTACTTTGGAGTGCCAAAATCAGTTATTTTAATCTATACTCCACAATAATTAATGAATATTAATGAAATTTTATACAAACTTACAGTTCATCAAGTACTTTAAGCAGAATAAAGAGAAAAATTAATGTAACTTAACACTTTTGAATAAACTCAAGTGCGCCAAGCAACCCCTGCGCCAAACAGCCCCGGTCTCCCCTATTTCGCAGCCGTAGGTGCTTTACTTTAATACTGCGCATCGTGTTAAGTTATTTTTTTTACCGGACATTTAACGAATATTATATTTAAATTTTCGGTCAACTTTCACGCCCAACTTTTAACGAACATTTAATTTACATGTTTAGTTAACTTTTGTTCTAAACATATACACAGTAAACTTGGTTGTATCTTTTTCTATTGCAACGTTTTGATGCACATAAGTTATATCAAAAAGAGATCGTTTTGTGTATCATTTTTAGAAATTATACACGAAACGGTCTCATTTTTTGATGCAAAAAATTTAATCAATTTATATCAATCATGGCCGAATTGAATCGACTCAAAATTAAAGGAATTTTTTTCAGATATTTTGGTAATAGTACAATTGCGGAGACCATTTCACTATTTAATTTGAAAATGAAAATAACAGAAAATCAAAGACAATGTGCAATTCGATAATTAAAAAGTGACAGCTTATAAACATAACCTAAAATGCATGAGAAAAAATTTGTCGATAAAATCAATATAGCCGAGCTTTTTAGAAGGTAGATGGCAGTTTTGCTTTTTATAAAAACGATTCAGAAAAAATTTAAAGAAAGAAAATAGATGAGTGCTGCCATCTACCTTCTACCCACACAGCACAACATCTTACACCAGGCCTACAGCAGGCTTACATGTAAGGTTTGTAAGGTAACATCGTAAGCCCATAGTAGACTTACAGTAAACCAAAAATGTCCGCCTTACAGTAAGCTTACACGGTAAGGTCGAGGTAAGCTTACACGGTAAGGTCGAGGTAAGCTTACATGGTTGGGTCGAGGTAAGCTTACATGGTAGGGTCGAGGTAAGCTTACACGGTAAGGTCGAGGTAAGCTTACACGGTAAGGTCGAGGTAAGCTTACATGGTAGGGTCGAGGTAAGCTTACATGGTAGGGTCGAGGTAAGCTTACACGGTAAGGTCGAGGTAAGCTTACACGGTAAGGTCGAGGTAAGCTTACATGGTAGGGTCGAGGTAAGCTTACATGGTAGGGTCGAGGTAAGCTTACACGGTAAGGTCGAGGTAAGCTTACACGGTAAGGTCGAGGTAAGCTTACATGGTAGGGTCGAGGTAAGCTTACATGGTAGGGTCGAGGTAAGCTTACACGGTAAGGTCGAGGTAAGCTTATGAGTAAAGGCTGTGGTAAGGTTATTATTAAGTTGTAAGGTTGAGGTAAGGTTGTGGTAAGCTTACAAGGTAAGGCAAGTTATATTCAAATAATAATATTAATAATAAATAAATATTCAATAAAAAAATTTTTCTTTTGCCTTATTCTATTTTGGGAACCTATCATTTCGCAGAAAGTTTTGAAAATAAATTTGGGAGGAGTAGGATTCGAACCCGGGACCGAAGTATATACCTAACAACCTAACCAACTGAGCTAAACGGGGAACTGACAATGAGAAAAGTAATCTTACTTTTAAAGTGGAACCAAGAAGATAATCAACTCCTTAAAAGCAAGATTACTTTTCTCATTGTCAGTTCCCCGTTTAGCTCAGTTGGTTAGGTTGTTAGGTATATACTTCGGTCCCGGGTTCGAATCCTACTCCTCCCAAATTTATTTTCAAAACTTTCTGCGAAATGATAGGTTCCCAAAATAGAATAAGGCAAAAGAAAAATTTTTTTATTGAATATTTATTTATTATTAATATTATTATTTGAATATAACTTGCCTTACCTTGTAAGCTTACCACAACCTTACCTCAACCTTACAACTTAATAATAACCTTACCACAGCCTTTACTCATAAGCTTACCTCGACCTTACCGTGTAAGCTTACCTCGACCCTACCATGTAAGCTTACCTCGACCCTACCATGTAAGCTTACCTCGACCCTACCATGTAAGCTTACCTCGACCTTACCGTGTAAGCTTACCTCGACCTTACCGTGTAAGCTTACCTCGACCCTACCATGTAAGCTTACCTCGACCCTACCATGTAAGCTTACCTCGACCCTACCATGTAAGCTTACTGTAAGGCGGACATTTTAGGTTTACTGTAAGTCTACTATGGGCTTACGATGTTATCTTACAAACCTTACATGTAAGCCTGCTGTAGGCCTGGTGTAAGATGTTGTGCTGTGTGGGTAAAAAGCTCGGCTATATTGATTTTATCGACAAATTTTTTCTCATGCATTTTAGGTTATGTTTATAAGCTGTCACTTTTTAATTATCGAATTGCACATTGTCTTTGATTTTCTGTTATTTTCATTTTCAAATTAAATAGTGAAATGGTCTCCGCAATTGTACTATTACCAAAATATCTGAAAAAATTCGTTTAATTTTGAGTCGATTTAATTCGGCCATGATTGATATAAATTGATTAAATTTTTTTCATCAAAAAATGAGACGCTTTCGTGTATCATTTCTAAAAATGATACACAAAACGATCTCTTTTTGATATAACTTATGTGCATCAAAACGTTGCAAAGATTTGATGCAATTTTTGGTCTCAATTTGATACTTTTAGGAAAACTGTGATTTAATCATGTCGGAGATTTTAATATTAATTCAAACTTTACTAAATATTGCAACTAAATATTCGTCAGTTTGCACTTAGACCTTTAATAAATATTTAGTAAAGTTTCGATGCTGGGGTGGGACTTTCGAAGGCAAAATTTTTACGACAGTTTCAAGAGCATGCGGAAGCCAGATCTGAATGCAGATTTCCCAAAAGTCCCTACGCAAAAAATAATAATAATAATAATAATAAAAATGAATATACCTTTCCACGCAAATGCGTCATGTTACCACAGCGTACCCTGAACACCCAGAGAGTGATATTTCTTTGGTTACTCTGACTGTGTTTGTGATGCTGATAGTGATGATTATGTTTTAATTCGACCCTGGCCCATAAGGTCGCTCTTTTAATTTTTAATAGCCCTAAAGCTTGATCCCCACTGGATATTGAAAATTCCAGAAGTGGCTGACCATTTAACGTACGCCCTAAAATCAGAACAAAAAGAAAAATTTATAAATTATATTTACAAAAAAAAGTTACACAATAATTATGTCGGTGAAGTTCACACCTTTTATAATCAACGATTTAGAAGAAAAAAATATTTTTCTATTGAAAATTATTATAATTTTTAGGTAAAAAATATTATTTTCTGCTTGTGAAAAACATTTTATTTTTTTAAGTCGTTGATCATAAATGTTGTGGATATCAATAAATTAATTTTCTATAAACCATTTACAAATTAGAAATATTATAAAAAAAAATGTAAAAGTTAATTAATATTTATAATTATTCATTATTATATTATTAAAAAGAAGTGAGAAAGAGATAATTTAATAAAATTTAATTATCCATTATTACCGCTTGTAAAACTTGTGATGATTTCTTAAATAATAATTGAGATTTATATTTAATTTTGCTAAAGAAGTTAATGAATTTAATGGGATCGGATTTTATGTTTTAAATCAAATTAAGATAATATCTTTTTTAAGATTCTTGTCTCGTGGCGGCAAAACCTATACATTTCTGTTGTGACGATTTATACGAGCTATTCTGTTTATCACACTGATTAATGGTGGTTTCACATGCAAACATAAAATACAAAGTTTAGCAAGTTTATTTTACACCTTATTTTATTGCAATTTCTATTTTCATTATGGCAAGTGTATTATATGTAATAAAAAATTTTTACTTTGCACTTTATCTTATATATATATATATTTTAGAAAGATTATTGAAAAACGAATAAAAAAATATTAATTTTTTTTTATTTTTAAAATATCAAACAGTAATTGTTTATTTATAATTGAACATTATTTTATAACATTTTTGTAAATGTTGATAAATTTAAAAACTTTTTTTAAAAAAAAAATTTAATTTTAGAATAATTTATGTATATTTTGAAATAATTTAAATTAAAAACTTCACAAGAGATTTCAATTCTAAGTAGAAGACGATTTTCGTCAGACACAATGACTTTGTCTGACTTCAACTGACTTTCTCTACTGAAATTGGTATCTCATCTTCGTACTGTTCTAAATTTACAATTTTTTTTTATTATTTAAATCTTATTGATTAATTATTGATTATTTACTGATTTAATTTATTTAAATTGTAAAATAAATTACATTTCACATTTTGAATATGTTAAATTTATAAGAAGAAAAAAATTGCGAAAAAATTGCCCAATTCTTAATTTGATAAAATTGTTGTAACAATTTCCAAAATTCGAGAAATGTTTTCACATCTGAGATGAAAGGATACTTTGAGCTGTCCTCATTTATTTGTACAACGTATAAACGCGACATTTGAGATCAGATATCTCTATAGGATAATGGAGTTATATGCCATTATCCGTCCTTGAATTCGTTCTCATTTGCTCGTTACTTCGTAATAAAACTCAATTTAGGATTTTGGATATACAAACTCTCTTTCTCTGCACTGCGGGAAAGAACAAACAACCAATTTTTAAAAAAAATTCATGTTCGTAACTAAATATGCTCTGGTTATAATGTTGTAATGTTACTCATCGTTGTAATTAAAAACAATTTTTCTCTTTAGACAAAAAAAAACTAATTCAAAATCTTGATTGAGTAAATTTTATAATTAAAATTTTTTTAAATATTTTTCAGAATTATAACAAAACTTTGTTTTTTCAATAAAGTGTCAAAGTAAGTTCAAAGTAGCCAATGGTTACAATTGGCTAAATAATTGACCAAGAATGATTTCCAATCGTTTTTTCTTGTCTTACTATTGGCATTTATTATTGGATCGCGATTAGTAAAATCTTGGGATGATCACGACGTTGCCAATCATTGCGGTAGCCAATATTATTCTATCATTGGCTACCAAGACAAAAAACGGATTCTCAAAAGTTTTGGTTTTTAATTGGCTACAAAGATTGGGCCAGTATTGAAAGCCAATCATTGGTTATCAACAATATGGTCCAATTTTAGTAGCCAATTGTTAACCAAGAATTTGAATATTCGTAATATGTCTTGGCAGCCAATGACAAACCAATATTGGATGCCTACTAATGGCAATATCATAGCAAAATTTAATAAAATGTGGTCCACTATTGACAGCCAATAGTTTGACAAGAAAAAAATACAAAAATTTCATTCAATTCATTTCACATATGGAGATAATTAAAATATCTCCTACCACCAAAAAAAAAGCAGAGTGTGAAAAAAATTGAATTCTAATTCCAACGACAAAGAAATCTGTTCTTATATAGTGTGAGGATAACACCTTGATTGCGAGTGGAAACGACTACCACACACCCTATAGGCCACTTGCCTGAATTATTGACGTGCGCGCATCTTTTGACGCAGCGCGGGAATCTTCAAATGTGATTTCAAACATTTTGTGAAAGATTTAATAATTTCTTATTACACTAAAAAGAAAAATGCCAACATATAAATAAAAAAAAGCAACGCGCACCAACAACTTTAACCAATATTTAACATTTCTACTAAAAGAAAAATTGCCAACCCTAAAAAATACAAACATATAAATATATAAAATCAACGAGCACCAAATAATTTAACAACAAAAAAGAAAAAGTAACAACTCAAAAAATACTAGCATGTAAAAATATACAAAAGCAATGCGCACCAAAAACTTAAATCAATATTTAACATTTCTACTAAATGACAAATGCCAACTCTGAAATATAGATATATGTAAGTTCAAATGTAGGTACAATGAAAGTCTAATTCAGGTTCAATGTAAAATAAACACAGTTTCAAGGTACGCTTAAAATATTTTAAATATAGGATGAAGATATGTCCAATATAGGTACGAAGTAGGTACAATATAGGTCCAATTTAGATTCAAAATAGTTTTAAAATGGTTTTAAAATGTTTTTAAAATGTTTTTAAAATAGTTTTAAAATAGTTTCAAAGTAGTTTTAATGTAGGACCAGAGTAGGTCAAATTTAGGTTGATAATTATTTCAATGTAGACTCAAAGTAGGTTCAAAGCAGTTTCTATTGTACACGGAAAAAAAGAAAAAGTAATTTTTACTACTTTCATAGTAAAAGGGGAACTGTCCGAAGTTTCTGCGCATCTCTGGCAACTTTTACTCCAAAAATAGTAAAATTTACTCCAGAAATAGTAAAAATTACTACAGAACAGTAAAATTTACTACAAAAATTGTAAATTTTACTATTTTTGGAGTAAAAGTTGCCAGAGATGCGCAGAAACTTCGGACAGTTCCCGTTTTACAATGAACCCAAGAAGCACGTAATATAACCTCAATATCAAGGTAATATTACATGTAAGATTCGTAATATAACGTTGTAATATTACAGTAATATTGCAGTAATATTAAGGTAATATTACAAGAGAATATTACAGTAATAATATGGGAACATTTCTTTACGAAAAAAATCTACCCATCCAGGGGATCGAACCCCGAACTCAAAGCACACGAGTCCAGAGTTTTACCAACAAGCCAAATTGACTTATAATATATTTACGTTTTTTATGCTTTATGAATAACTCAAATCAGTCTGTAATATTACTGTAATATTACCGTTAATATTACTGTAATATTACCGTTAATATTACAGTAATATTCCAGGTAATATTACCTTAAGGCGGACATTTTAAGATCACTGTAAGATTACTGTAAAATTACAGCGTTATATTACGAATCTCACGTGTAATATTACCTTGATATTGAGGATATATTACGTGCTTCTTGGGAAAGTAGTAAAAATTACTTTTTCTTTTTTTCCGTGTAGGTTCAATATGTATTTTGGAAAATTTTGTAATTTTTGAAAACCTTATTTTAAAATTTAAGTTTTTAGACAATGAATTTCCTTTAAAAAAAAAGGTTTTTTGTAGAAAATACGGATTAGATAATATTTTTTTTAGAAAAATCACTATAGAGCTATAGCTTATTGTTAGACATACACTTATAGACATTAGAGACATTGATGTTTAAAACAAAGATTGTTATTGATAACATAGTAATTATAGAAATTGGAGGGGGGAGGGTAATAAATATAAATGAGAAAGGTAAATTTAAAAAAATAATAAAAAATCACATTACAAGAGTTATTAAAGATAATATGTAGAGTGATTGCTTGACTTATGGGGTCGTTGGCATAAGTACTTCCCCCCCCCCCTTCTCTCTCTCTCACTCACTCTCTCTCCACAGTTATCCACTCCTCAGAATATACTATCCAACACACATTGGCTATAGTTGCTAAAAGGTTTACTAAAAGGTAAAGTACAACACCTGACATATAAGAGAACATTCACTTTTTTCCTTGTGTTCCACACATTAGTTCGGTAGGTACATTTGCAATATAAGAAAGTCTCTAACGTGGGAATTTGATTATGCAATTCTGACGTTACTGAGCTTTTAGCAGTTCATACAATTTAGTTTAATAGCTCTCTTATGAATGAGAACGATGTCTATTTCCTTCTTTTTTCAATTATATGTTGAATATATTTCTGACAGCATTGATTTTTCAAGTTAATATCGTATACGTTATATGAATTATATTGTATAATATGTTGCTTATTTTATTATTTGATGAATTCATTAACTTTTTGCACACGTATATGCGTTAAATTGTCTACAATGAAAAAAAAAAATTTATTTTATTCAAATAATCAGTTACTTGACCAAAATAAATATTTCTTTGTATTATTAATTAAATATATATTTGTCTTGGAACAAAATAACAATTTATTTGTTTCAAAACTAAAATTCATTTGGTTTAACATAAAATTTTACTTATTGAAAATAAAATTTTTATTTAAACTAAATGAATTTTATTTGAAGCTATAATAAATATTTATTAAGCAATTTTTATGTAGCAAAATAATTTTTTAAGAAATTTTTGGTTCCATGTTTTATTAATAATTTTTTATGTAACAAAAACTTTCTGACTTTTAGTTAGTTAAATATAAATTAAACTGGCCTCGCCGCACTAAATAGAATCGAAGAAATAGAAAATTATTTATCAAAG